AGGCACGGTTTGCTTCCATGAGAAACGGGATTTTTCTTTCGCGAGAGGCACGTCCGTGTCTCTCGGAAATGGAAAAAAATATTTTCTGTTTTTTCATTCGGAAGAGGTATGGTTTTGTTTCCGCAAAAGACATGACCGTGCCTCTTGGAAACGAAAAAAAACCGCTTTCTTTTTTTTTCTCCCATGAGAGACGCGGTTTTGCTTCCGCGAGAGGCACGGCCGTGTCTCTCGGAAACGGGAAAATATATTTTCTTTTTTTTTTTCATTCGGAAGGGGTACGGTTTTGCTTCCGCAAAAGACGCGGCCGTGCCTCTTGGAATAAAAAAAAACGTTTTCTTCTTCTTCTTTTCTCCCACGAGAGGCATGGTTTTGCTTTCACAAGAGATACAGATTTGCTTCCGTGAGAGGCACGGTCATGCCTCCTGGAAACGTCTTTCGTGAAGGAAAAAAATACCAAATTCCTGGTTCAGTTTTTTTGTCCGTTTTTTATGAAAAATAAAGTTCATCAAAACCTATCAACATGGGATGTAATTTTAAAGATCTCGACGCAATGAATCCAACGGTGAAAACGGTTCGAGATTTGAATGCATGGTTTAAGAGATAAAACATTTTGGATAAACGGGTCTATGAAAAAGGGAAAACGTCTAGGTTACGACAAGCGACGCACATGCAGTGTGCTCCTTGTCGCAACCTGGGAAGATGTGAGTGATATTTAAAATGAGTACTCCTTAATTAGCGATTTTGTTTCCTATCAGATTGCGAACCCAGATCCTATGTAGCCCCCGTTAAAGGCAAAACCCTAAGCAACTCATACCCCTGGGAAAATATCTGGTACTCCCACCCCTAGGGTGCTCCCAGTGCTCTAAACTCGGTAGCATATTTTAAAATATTTGAAAAATTCAAAAAATATCAATACATTGGCACAACATCAATGTATGTTGTTAAAAAAATCAAAACATTGCTCAAGATACAAAAAATGACAAAATGTACATCAATGTGATAATGGGCGTAATCTAAAGCCCAACTTATGTTGTGTACTATTTACTATCGAATTTGTCATTTTTGTATCTCAAGCAATGTTTTGAATTTTGATTTCATATTTTTTAACAACATACACTGATGTTGTGCCAATGTGTTAGATTTTTTTTCAGAATTTTTCGAACATTTTAAAATGTGCTACCGAGTTTTCGAGCATCGGGAGTACCCTAAGGGTGGGAGTACCAGATATTTTCCCTCATACCCCTGTCTCCTTTGATAGATTTAGTGGTCCGGCCCCATCTACGCACTCACATAATGTTTCTTTGAAGCTTCCAATCGGTTTTGGGAAGCTTCTAGTCTATTTTTTAATTGTTTCTGGTTTTTCGGCCTATTTTGTATGATTTTCTTTTTTCTGCATTTGTTTTCTATGTTTTTCTCCTTTTTTCAAATGCATGAACTTTTTCCATGTCATGAAGTTTATCAAAAGAAATTGTGAAAATTTTCAAATTCGTGTCTTCCTCAAATTTTCTGATTTTTTTTCAAATTTGATAATTTTTCCAAAAATGATGAACTTTCATTTAGAATTGATGCACTTTTTCAAATTTGTGAGATCTTCGGAAACTGAGTTTTTTTTAAATTGATGAACTTCTTTTCAAAACTGATGAATGTTTTTAAAATTTGTGACTTTTTTCAAAATGTTTGATTTTTTAAAATTTTCGAACTCTCTTCAATTTTATGAATTATTTCTTAGTTTGTGAACCTTTTTCAAATTAGTGAACTTGTTCAGATTAACGAATTTTTATTTCCTGAACTTTTTAAAAATTCGTGAACCTTTTCAGATTCATGAACCCTTTTTCTCAAAAATGAACTTTGTTATTTTCATGATTTTCAAAATTCGTGAGGTTTTTCTGAAAAGTCAACGATCAACGTGAGCCTAATCAGGGTCAACAGTGGACGACCAAACTGGGAACCAACCAAACCAGGAAGATAAAAAACCGAGCGAATCGGACTTTTTTTAGCGAGCGATCCAAAAATGAGGAGCGCTCGAAACATTGTATTGGGCCGACCCATAGGAGGGTGGTGCATGAGAGTCAGTTCCCCCAACGGGCGCATAAGGTGCTAATGAGGAGCACTCGATTGTGTATACTGCTTAGTTAAAGCAAGGATAATAATGTGACACAGCTGAGCTATAGAAAACTCGCATCAAATTCTTGTCTAGTTGGAGAAGAAGAGAGAAGAGAACGAGATGTAGATTTACATCCGGCTATAGAACGAGCTCCCGTAACCTTTGTAAGAGAAAAGATTGGACACATATTAACGACATACAACATGCAAGTGTGGCTAACTATTATATGAGTGAGCTATAGGTGATGTTACAACTTCATATATCCGGTTGTTGGCTACACTATTAATCTTGCATATCAAATATAGGTCACTTGCAATAAAATTATGTTACTATTGCTCTATAAAGGAGTCATGACCTTTCCATAGGTCACTTGCAAGGAGTGTGGAAAGCCCTTCAGTGTCGCCTTTGTCTTGCTTGGGGCGCATCCATTTAGAAAGCAAGAGGTCGCGTGGGAATGAAAAAAGCGACTTGGTTTCTTTCTAGTTTCTCCTCTTCTTCATTTTCCTCTTTTAATTTTGGTTTCTTGGGTTTTCAAGTTTCTTTTTTGGTTTTTTTCCTCGTGTACTGCTCAGCATGATCTCGAGGACAACACATGTGTGCCCCCTCGATAGCGCACCCATGCTCCTTGTGTTCCTATGGACAACACATGTATGCTCCTACACAAAAGCACACTTGCCACGCTCTCACGGGGAGTGCATGTGTGCTCCCCATAGGTGGAGCACAAGCAGACCAGAAAAGAAGATAAGGGAGCCATGCTCCACATGAAATACACCTATGCTCCCACAGGAAGCACAAGTGTACTCCTTGCGGTGGAGCAGAAGTCAACCATATAAAAGGAAAAAAGAGGTGTGCTTCCATCGACAACACAGTCGTGCCCCGTGCGGTAGAGCACAACCATTACAAAGAAAGCGAGCATGTTCTAGCTGGCGGCATAGGTGTGCTCCGTGCGGGTGGAGCACATCGAAACGAGAAAAAGAAAAAAAAGAAAAAAAAAGATGTGCTCCCGCACGAAGCACACATGGGCGATGCGGGCGTGCTCCTCACGGTCCAACGCATCCAGCCACCGAAAGGGAAAAATGAGAGAAAAAAAGAAGAAATCTATGCGGTCATCTCTCCTTCTATCACATGTTTGAACACGAAGCTCATTTTGATGACAAGTATTTCCGGACGAATAAAAGGAGATGTATCTAGATAAAATACATCTAGATACATCCCTTTTTATTCATTTTGATGACAAGTATTTCCGGACGGAGGGAGTACCTCTTGACCAGTGATTTTTTTATAAGTTTTTTCAGGGGTCTTTCTTATAAGTTTGAGCTAGCGATTTAATTCGTTTCTCTGCAATGAAACCATAACCGTGTGTGTTTGCCACAAACGGGCTTGTTTGCAGGTCCCGGAGGCCCATGCCGTCCGCACGGCCGGCGTGCCACACTCCCACTAGCAATA